TGTGACCAAAAACCAAGCCCTTGACTAATTATAGACATGATTTAGCAACAAGCATAGCATTAATGTACTATCAACCTTACCCTCATACTGAATGCAAAGCACAGCACTATACCAGGTACTGAGAGGAAAACTCTTCCCCAGCTGAAACCTGGGCAGCTGGCTTGAGCAGGAGTGTTGGAAGGACCTCCAGAGGTCCTTTCCAGCCTAAAGAATCACTTGATTCTGTCCTGTGTTCTTGGGTCACTCCTGAAAGGTCAGTTAATATAAGAAAATCTAGTATAAACCCAGAGCATGAAGGGTACAGGAATTCAAACATCTGTTCTTCAAGTCAGTAGCTAATGAGCTAGAACAGCCATAGCAGTTGGTTTGTTGGCTTTGACAGATCACTGATGAAATATTGCATACTGCTGATGAATGAAGGCAAAAAAAAAAGTTTCAGAAAGTGGCTTATGTTTCTAAACCACTGTTCATGTTCTGTTCATACACAAAAGTTGAAATTTGAACAAACACAAAAGGTAATCTTTTCTATATTCTTCACAAAAATCCATTTTCTTATTTGAGTTATCCCAGATAACATGACACATGGACTGATTTAACTAGCTTATTCTATTGTTTCAAACTTCTGTTTTAAAATTTAATTGCATATACATGAATTTGTATTCATTAGCTTGATTTAATGTATTTCTTATGGGACTGTTTTTAAGACTAAATATATGTGGTTTAATAGACTTGTGTGACGCTGTAAAAGCTCAATTAATGAAACTGGGATTAGGTTTGCTTTTCTTTTTTTTCTGTTTACTGATTTAATGTAATTGTAAGTAATACTTTCACACTATGAAGGATACCCAACACCTGTAAATAATAATAAAAATATGCATTAATATGAAAAAATAGATATCTCTAAAATAATGAAATAGGTAAACACCATGACCAAAAATGAGCCAAAATATTGTATGGATAGCGATTTACAAATTCTTTTTTAGAAACACATTTTCAGAATGCACAGGCAAAAAAAACCCTTGTAGAATAGTTCAAGCAATGATTTTCTTCTAGGGAAAAGGAATAAGTACAAGTGTAGGTAAAATCATGGTTACTGATAATATAATCATGTAACTAGTACTAGATACATTACATCATGCCAAAGTTTCCATGTAGAGGTACAAAAACATGCTGAGGACTTTCACAGTTCAGAATGTGCCATCTGCTTTTGAAGCTGGATAATAAACTTGACAAATAATAAACTTCAGCAGCTTCTCTACCCCTGCATGGTCTAGGTGAGAGTGGGCCAAATTAACTGGATAATGTATTTAACAAATAAACACTTTTAAGAACAGCTAAAGGTGCCCTTCTCAGCCATGAGTAAATGCTCACATCCATACTACTGATTAAAGTGTGACAGAAAACTGGAAACAACTGCTCTCAATATGTTCACTTGGAAGATACATGAAATGCAAATGTACATAGTACCATGATATAGCTGTGTGGGGATGGGCATGATGTTCATTACATTCCAGGGAAAAATTTTGAAAGTTCTGCAGGTAAATAAGATGGAAGAGTGATGCTGTCACATACAGAGAAGAATAGTTAATGATTGCTTGGAATCTCCCAAACAGAAAAGGGCGCTCTGATCACATCACTGTGCAGAACAGACAAAAATACAATTTAGAGACAAAAACCTAAGATGTCTAAAAATATCAGTACTCATATTCTAAAAGTGACAATCTACCTTACTATCAAGAAAAATCAAAATCCTGATTACCTGATTATTTCAATCTCTTTCTTGTTAAATTTACTTTCTTTCAACCACTGAATTGAAGAAACATTTGCCCCCCATGACAGCCTTACCACTTTAACCATGAGGTAGAGCAAGTTTTACATCAGTCAAAAGCATTTCAGAACCCACACATAGAATGAAATGTGTTTGAACTAATGTTCTTTGAATAACTTTAAAGAACAAATCCATAAAACCAATCCAAACTACATTTCAAGTATGTGCTCAAAGCTTTAACTGAAAAAAACCCACAATCTCAATTACAAAAATCACAAAAAATTATATTCAAATGAATGCACATTTTCAAACCAGTAATCAAATCATCCTAAAATAAACAGAAATAGAAACATCAAGTGAAACTGCATTGAAACAGGTTTCTATTTTCTTTAGGCAAGGCAAAAAAAGTAAGCAATCAGAGCTTTATTGACTTTCTCCTATAAAGTTGCCATTTCACAAGGACCATAAAGTAAATGACTGAACATTTTAAACTCATTTAATCTTCATCAGGTTTGAGAAAATAGCCATATCTAAGAAAACTAATCATACAGTTAAAAGAAAGCAATATCTCTAAACTGTGGGAATGTATTAGTTTCCTGCACATGTAGATTAAAAAGAATAAGTTTGAAAAGGAGAAAATCTGCTTCTATAGATATTGGATGTGTTAATTGTGGTGTTTAACCACTGGAATCATAGTTGCATCCAAAACCAGAACAACTGTCAAATATGATCTTCCAAACTAATGCAAAGTCAAATGTAACAAATATATTGTTCACCTGTTGGAGAACTTTGAAACAGTAGCAAAAAAAAAAAGGCAATTTATTCTCCTCTTTGACTCTTTTACTGCATTATAGGGGAAAAAAACCCCACACATTCATTTTCCAGGTAAAGTGTACAGATAGAATTACCTATCTCCAACAGCCTCTGAGAACACAAATCAACAGTTTTGTCATGGCTTCATATTTTATATCTTACGATACAAGACTTTGGGAGGCTACAACTGCCTTGTCAAGTCTGCTTTTTCCTTTGACAAAGGTTAAGGATGATTGCTGAAGGATGACAATTTTACTGCTGTTTGGTGAAGGATATACTGCTCTCTCTACATTTTAGAAGGACTCACAAGAATAATCACAAGTCATTTTGAAGGCCAAGCCTGTAAACTCAAATTCATGTAAATCCCTGCTAGTAGCAGTCTAAAATCACACCTTGCAAGTTATTTAGTATGCCACTGTTTCAAAGATAACAGCACAAAATTCCAGTAAATAAAGGAAAAGTATAAATTGAACTGGTGTTATTTTTAGTGTAACAACAAGAATGAGGCCATAAATACAGAGGTATTAATCTGAGGGTAGAAAAAGAAGGTAATACATTTTTTGGTGTAAACTTGAACTCTGTACCTAGAATAATATTTTTTTAATTGCCATTTAGCTGAATTTGTCGCTATTATTAGGCTTTGAAATTTTTGCAGTGTTTTAATGGGTTAAATGTATGAACCAAAGACAATGACACCACAACTGATGCAGTGCAGACAATTAACTGACCGATGTCTCACACAAGAGAAGTCCCTGGGATTAGAAAAAAACCCCTTAGAACAGCTTTAGTATTGAGCTGTATCATGTATTTTCTGAGAGAAAAAAAAAACCTCTTTAACTTCTAGAGCAAAAGGAGAGGAAGTGATATAATTTTCTTTCCAAATTTTATGTACTTTTACAATCTGTACAAAAATCCTAAACTAAATACAATGTCAGCTAATAAGATTTGAATGTGTGCTATGTGCCTTTGCTCCATTAATACTAGATGTTAATACTAAGCATAAAAGGGAAAAAAGATCCCTGTTTTAAATGAAGAAAAAGAGTAATGTAAAGACCTGTGGCTGAGAAGAAATAGAAGATGGAAACAAAACAGTTTCTTAAATGGCAGATCCTGTTAGCCTTCCATATATTGAAAAGAGGATTTATATTCTAAGAAATTTGTTTCTAAAAGAAATGGTAAAGCTTATGGGTTAAGCACACTATCTAATAAAAAAATGCTGAACGTTCTCTTCTCCCCATATCAATCTACTTTATATACTGAGATAAACAAACCTCTGTCATTTTAGAATTTATTTAGAATTTATAGAACATTTACATCACAGGGAAACAGTTCAGAATACAAACTCAAAAATATTCAGATTTTGCTTTGATTTTCCTTTTTTGGTAGTAAAAGGCAATTTTGAGAAATCTCATGTGTGCTTCATGGTAACTTTTGCAGCAGTCTCCTTCACATACCATCCTCTAACAGCAAAAATAGGCCCAGTTAAGGCCTCCTTTGATTTAATAATTTGTGCACTAAATTCTCTTTACAGTTCAGGTACAGCAATTGTCTCTAATACTTAAACTATATAAAAAGTAAAATATTATCTTAATTACAGTAATTTGATATTTTATGTGGGGTCAGAATTATATCTAAAATGTTTCTGGAATAAACATTGAATACTTTACCATTATTTAACATTACTAATATAAATATAACAAGAAAAAAAAAAAAGCTTCTATATTATTTCTATTTTACTTCTTACCTAGCTTGCAGATATGAAATTCCATGACTGGAAAAACATTAATTCATTACCAAAGCATGATACCATTGCCAATCTCAAAATTATAAATGAACCATTCTGAGAACTATTGTTTGTACAAGATGAAAAACATCAGTAGTGATTAGCCACTGTTGTATAATCCTGATAGCAAGATGGTAAATGTAAATATGACAACTTTTAGAATCATAGTTGTGTGGATAAGACTTTTAAAATCACCAAGTCCACCCTCTAATGTGAGATGTTGTTAGCATGCCCATTTTAAATTTTTTATCGCAAACATTTTAGCACGAAAATGTGACGACAAATTTAATTTATTCTATGTGTTAATTAATAATAATAAAATTTGAGACCCCCATTTGTAACCTCCAAAATTAAGTTTAAACTGTTTCATTTATCAAACTGACTTAATCTGTATCTGTAAATGTATCTGGACTTTGAATGATTCATAAGTTCTCAAAAAGACTCAAGAATCTGTGTGAACTAAAATGTATTTTCAGTCAAGGAGTTTACCTTATGAAAAAGGTTTCCAAATTTTGCTTTGTCTTTTTATTACCCAAAAAAAAAACAAACAAAAAAAAACAACCCAAAAAAAGTGAAATCACATTTTATTGCTCAATACTAAAACTCTTTTAGTGCAGCCCAGTGGTAAATTCTTACCTTATTGTGATAGGGACAAGTGCACCCTTGCTGACAGATTGGTTCAGGGATATGGTCAGAATGTTCTGAGAGTTTCCACAGCCTAATCGAACCGTTGGTCTTCCTTCCACAAGGTATAGGTGAAGAAACTGCTCTCCAAAATTCCTTTCACCAGCTTTGAAAACAGAAAGGGAGATATTCACACACAGTGTAGGACCTCACTACTATAGTAGGGGCTATTTCACACTGCTGGAACACCACCACCAGACACGATGCCTATATGACATTGGGTACTCTTCTGTCCATGTACAGGACCCTTCTTGAGGGACTTTGAGAAAAAAAAGCAGACTCACTAAATATCTGTATTTAGATGATAACAGTTAAAAGTAAAAGTAAATAACTAAAAGAAAAAAATTACTGATTACCACTGAAGTTGCATCAATATTACAGAGATATTTACATTGATTGAACTCTCTATATCAAGCAGTATCATTAAGGCAGCACAATCATTAAGGTGACAATAAAAAAAAAAAATCACATTCATTCAGCATTTCAAAAAAATTATAGAAAACAAAAATTATAAGAGAGCATCTCTTACAATAGAATTAAAGATTATGAAAAATTCACCTTTCCCAAGTAATGATATATTTCAGGCTTGAAGAGAAGAAAAAATATTTACAAAACATTAAACATATTGTTACTTGCTCTCTTAAAAAATATGAATAAAAATATGCTTAAATTCACTTCTACAGAATAGTATATTGTACATTGTAAAAATATCAGCGAAACATTTATATTTAAGTGATAGGTGGTACATGGCTCTTCTACAAAAAGGACAGCACCTACAGGGTGAATTTTCACTTTGAATTTGACTGCATTTGCTTTTCAAAAAAGCAAAAACAGTTCCTGTTTACAGTTTTTATTCCCCTCTAAGGCAAATAGTTAACACATTAATCTGTTTTTTCTCTGTATTTTACTATATTTAACCAAAGTAAAAAAGTGGGCCACAAAATTGAATTTACTGCATGTATTGTTTTATGTACTGTTGCCTCTGAGTAGGAGAACCTGCATGCTGGCATGGGTATCAGACAGGTAGAAATCTCATGCTAGCATTTGGGGGAGCCTCAGTTGTGAAGCTCCTGGGTTTGTGTGTGTGAGTCTTGAGAGTCTGTCCATGAACCATGAGTAGGAGGCCCCCGGAGCAGGTCGGAAGGGCTGGGATCTGGGCTGGATTTCAGCTGCTTGGTAGGATCCTGGAGGCACTGGGTAGAAGCTGCCAGGCCTGGAGCTTCTGGAGGGAGCCACAGGTCAGAGCATCATTTAATATTTTTGTTCAGAAAGGTAAAACCAATGAGGCCATACTTGGGACATAGAAAACATACTAATTTTTAAAAACTAAATTTTTAACTCTATTTTGGAGGACAAAACAAAAAGCAAGCAATGATCTTTAGGAGATAGACAGAGATAACAGTGCTTGCAAGTGCCTGATCATTTCCTTTTGTATAGTTCCTAGCAGAAACAGTTCACAATGTAAACTCCCTCTTTGAGAGCAGCTTTCTAGTCAACATTGCATTTCTTCAGTCTGTTACAAATCCTGATGACCTACTGTGATGACCTACTGAAGCCTTTTATGCTTAGATATATTTTGTATTCTGAATACCTAATTAACTCCGAAGCTATTTTAATTTGACTGAATTTCATGCCTTTGGCTTTTACAATTTCCTCTACAATAGTCTGATAATTCTCTTTAAAAATATATTGCACTATTGCACTGCTTTTTAACCCTCACATAACTGATATATGCACTTAATATATTTTTTGTTTCCTTATCTTCTTCCCTCCCTACACATGCTATTCCTGGCATTTCCAATTAATAAGATTAAGTAAGTAGATCTGTAAGTCACATTGATCCAGAGAGAATGAAGTGGATGTATATGTGCATGTATATAACGTGTCTTTAAAAAGTGAGCTTATAGCTGAACAGGTTGTTTCCCTTCTCCCACTGACTGTCTGTCTATTCACAATGCCCACTAGTAAAAACTTGGAAGAAGGTCCTCATTATTACCAGTAAAGTAAAAAATCTGGGACAGCTCTCCCAGAGGCAGCATTACTTCTTGAAACTTCAGTGAGTGTTGCTGCTTGAACTTCAGTCTAGGGAGCACTTTTAAGTCACACTTACAGGTGACTAACAGCATTCTTCACATTATTTCCTAGGTGGTATGAAATCCTTTGAAAGGACAATTCTTTAAATCTTTCTACAGTGAACATAAGGAGGCAGAGAATTTTTTTCTGGCAATGTGAAAGAGCATATGCTACCTAGTGTATATGTTAGAAGTTACCTTCATAGGAAAAGCCAGAGTCAAAAGCAAAACAGATTGTGGGAAGAAACAGAGATCAGGAACTATGTGAGTTAAAAAATCTTGTTGGATATTAAGGGTAAATTATCTTGTCCTTAGTAGAGATTCTGCAAGGGGTTCAGGCTGAAGAGCCCAGATCTCAGCAACCATCCCTTCACAGAAAACTGCTGGAAGGTTATTTTTGCACAACAGTATGATAACAAGCAAGTAGCCATTTGGCTTAAGTGATTGCCTATCTAAAAGACAGATTTGAAGTCCCATTGAAATATGGGATAAGCTTCATTAAGAAAGAAAATCTATTTGGACACAGAGGAAGGATACTGTGAAATGCTCTGCTCAAAAATGCCAGCTGAAGTAGAGACAAAGAGACTACAATGCCTGAAATGCCTGAAATTAAAAACCTATTTAGTTTCATAAGGGCAAGGGGAATATGAGAAGATTTGGGAAACAGAGCTTCTGAGAGAACAGGAAATAATTTATGAGCACAATTTATGAAAAGGGAGCTGTTGTCCTTAAGGAATGCTATAAACATGGGCTGTGGTATCTGAAATCCAATTGTCAGAAGTTATAGGCTACCGTATATAGCAGAAGCTAAACAATCTACCCTTGAAAGGATCGTGAACAGCATTATGCTGACTCTGTTAGAAGTGAAAATGATGAAGTAAAACTTTACAACTGTATCAGGTTTTTATGATCACTAGCAATTTATTTTGCTTTGTGGCTAAATATCACAATTTGCTGTGACATGTTGAAGAAATTTAATCATGCAAACAAATAAAATAATTAAGGAATAGAACAGAAATCTTATGAATGCATTCTGTAGTCAACAAATAAATCTTCTCAAATGATGGCTAATCCTTATTGGCACAAACGTAATTGTCACATTTTATCAACAATTTAAACATAAAGTAACTGCATAAATTCCAGGCAGTTTTAGTCCATTTACTGTTAGGATTCAGATGTTTCTTGAATACATACTGAAATAATTAGGGAAAACATCATTATTAAGAATGTAAATACATTTTTGTTTGTATTAAAACAGCTAATATGTGGCAATTTCCTATAAATCATACATAGGTTTCTATGATATCTTATGTCTCTCTCCACTTTTTTAACAATCCATTTTTGGAAGCCCCTACAAGTCTTTAGGACTTGTTAATTTCAACCAACTGTTGATAAAACTCTTGCTAATAAAGACATCAAATAGGAAAATAATTTTTAACAACAGTATGGTATGATTTACTAAAGTGACATGCCTAGTACATGTAATGATTCTCATATTCTGCCTATTTGTTAGCCTATAAGCAACCTTATTTGTCATACTCTCCATATTTATTTTGTCTTATATATCTTTGTATATATATAATTGTAGTAACTGCTAAAAGGTATAAAATAATGCATTGATAGTTTAAGTTCTGTTCCCTTTATTTTAAGGCACATGGACATGAAGAGGTGAAGAAGGCACAGATCATTTTTGTTCTTCACTGGCTAATCTATTAGGTGAACACAGATGCAAGTTTGAATCCTTTTATGTTATCCTTATGATTTAGACTTAAATAGTCTTCTTATGCATACTTTCTGATTCAAATTCATTTGTGTATCAGTAGCATCTTGTCTGAGATTTCTCCCTGTAATTAAATGTTTACTAATTATCTGCCAGAAAAACAGATGTAACTTCACCACCACCTGGTAAAAACAGGTGTGTTTGTAAAATGCATAATCTGAAGGTGGATTAATTAAAAAAAAAAATCAAAACGTGTAACAATTTTCTAGTAAAGTACATCTGAAGGAAAGAGATCACTGTAATGTTCTTCCTATTTAAAAAAAAAATATTTTGACAAATAGAAAGGTTTTGCATTTACAAATATGTGAAGCTTATTGTAACCATAATTATTTATTACCATTATTATTTATAACCATTGCTAACTTGCATAAATTGACAGAATCTGAAAATGTTTGGAACATTAATCCTTAGAAATGTGTGGCTCTTGCAACTAGTGGGTGCAACAGCCTCCAGTTGGCTTTCTGGTGATAGTTCATTCCTCAGATGTCTGATGGTAACCCAACTTCAAAAAAGGAGCAGTAAAGGCAGGAGTTGTATAGCTATTAAAAATGGAAGAGCTGACAACAGCAGCACCTCTTTTGTAATAGAAGTGAAAATGAAAGACAGAGCAGGGAGAAAAAATGGGGATGAAGGAAATACAGAGAAAACACATGAGGGAACTCACAAAGGATATTTATCTGACCGAAGAGCTTCATGCCTGCATACAGAAATAATTTAAAGATTCTCAATTATCTGTATAGCCATGTGGAGTTCATTCATAAAACACTGGAGATTTTTATTTACAAATTTATATAATATTTTATTTTACATTCATGTAAAACTAAATAAGAATATTGATCTGAACTATCATAACAGACATTTGTAATATTTGGAAAGGAATCTAATTACCAGGGAGACTCAGAACAAATAAGAAAGAGTGAAAACAAGGAAAATAAATTTGTGCTATAGAAAGAGGGGCAGAGATTGTTAAAGTAGAAATGTAAAGCAAAGATCTAACATTAAACACAGTAGCAGAAGTCTACAAGATGTACAGTCATCCATTACTTTCTGTGTCTGTATTCCACAGCCAGGCAGAGATCCAAGTTTTATTTATTTATTTTTTATTTGTTTGTTTATTTATTTGTTTGTTTATTTATTGATCTTAACAGAAATCTAACCTTAATAGAAACCCAACTGATCACTAAAAGAGCAGACTATTACAAATCAGTTAAAATTCCATTTTAGGGGTAATAAAAGGAATGAGAATGTGAGTATGACATGCTACTGAGAAGCTATGAAGAAAAGGTGAGTTTTCACTCTGTGAAAATATGTAAAAATTATCCCAAGTTCCTGGAGCTACCCCAGATCAATTTTAGGGTGAGAAGTGAACTCACACCACTAATCCTGGCTCACACTTCTTCCTTCATTTTGGGTCTGTGAAGGGACAAGAAGTCAGCTGTGACACAGTCCATGGAAGTCTCAGATATGGGTAACTGGAAAGCAAAAAAATTGCACTGTTCTCCACTAACACCATTCTATCTTCCCAGAAAGCATATATTCTAAAGAAAGTGAATTCCTCAAATACTGCTGAAACAAAATCTCTGCAAACACCTGAAAAATTACCATATTAACAATTTGCCATAGACAGTATGAACTAATAGCTGAAGAGGCTATATTAGGGTTTAATATCTAGTTAGGTTAGATACAGGATGAGTACATTATCTAGAAGAAAAAACACATAGTCATATGAATTGGTCATCTGGTTAACCCCTTGCAATGAACAGGGACATCTTCAACCAGATCAGGTTGCTCCAAGTCTCCTTAAACCTGATGAGGAATCTACCACCTCCCCAGGCAATATATTCCAGTACCTTTCTCCCCTCATTGTAAAAAAATATTCTTTAATGTCTAGTCTACATTTACACACTTTTAGTTTAAAGACATTACTCCATTGGGTATTGGCCTATTGCAAGAGGCCCTGCTAGAAAGTTTAGCCCCATACTTCTTATAAGCAACCATTTTTAATACTTAAAAACTGCAATGTGCTGTCTCCAGAGTCTTCTGCTCTCCAGGCTGAACAAACTCACTTTCTTTAGCTTCAGAAAACACTACTTCTTCCTGAGTATAGCAGAGAATCTCCCATTATTTTTTTTTTTTTTTGGTTTGGAGATTTTTGAGATTTTTGTTTCACAGAGATGCTTACTCAGGGCTTATGTGTAGATAGCAAGATTAACTTTGGCTGGAGCCAAATAACTTTGCAGTGATGAAGCAAACAAAATCACTAAATGCCAAATATAGTCAAAGTACATCCAATAACCTTCCATGAATTCTTCTTCAAGGGCAAATAACTCCTCTTGAAATAGAAATAACTAACAAGTATAAAAAATTTTGCTATAAAGAACTGCCACATCACCACTTATCCATGATTCCTAGCAAAATTTGCAGTACTGTAGCTTAGGCAGCTGTAGCAACAGCCCAGATATAACATACAAGGATTTGAGATACTATTTTGAAAAGCAGTAAACATTAATTTTCAATTTGGGGTTAGAGTATTTCACATCTGAAAAAAAATCTAGTACAAATAATAATGAAGAGCATAATTAAATATTGCCACAAAAATTCAGATTACTTTTAACCCTGACTTATAAATATGTACAGAGTTCAGGTGAATTGACATACACTGCTACCAGATTAATGTAAATGCAACAAAATTTAATCAGAATTATTTATGCAATATCAACAAGATTTCTTTGTGTAGAGAAACCTTAGGAAGCTGCAGTGAACTGAAAATGCTTCTTATGATTTTGTCTTTGTGGAGTAAATCTGTCAAATAATCATATTTTTCTAGCTCTTCTTGAGTTGAGGAAGAAATCGCCACACTTTCCATGTTTTCCATTTGCAAGAAATTGCAAGATAAAATATATAATGAAATACTCAACTGGCAGAGAAGTCTATTTTTTTTGCTGACTAGTGGAAAGTGTACTTCTGTCTGAGAAGTTTATGCCATATATTGAGGAATGAAATATGCAGTCAAGAAGCAACTTTTTTTATGTACTATTAACAGGCATACATCCAAGTCTGCAAGCATACTCTCTGGGGATCACAAAAGAATTCTCTGAAGTGTGAAAACACAGTAAGTACTTCAAAATATGGCAAAATTGCAGAACTTAAGATAGTTCTATAAATCAAGAATTTGGAACCAAGATCACAATTATAAAAACCAAGACTCAATCCATCTATGGAGAAGCTGTTTGTATATAATAAGTTGTTCAAAACTTCTTCGGCATTTGTATTTTAGAGCTGTAAAACTTACACCTAAAGTCATATGCTTACTATGTTCTTTTTTGTCAGGAAGCTGCATTTTCTCTTGTAAGTTATGTTTTGCTCAATGAGTCATGAATTAAAGAACTTTCCAGAGGAACACAAGGAACAATGGTTCGAATTTTATAATGCAGGATGCATTAGAATACCAAAAGGCTTCTACTGCATTTTAATGACTCATTTTGCTGTTGAAGAGGAAATGGCAGCTGATGTACACTAAAGTTAATAAGGACCTGAAGGAGCTAAAACTGATACTTAGCTTCAAGTATCTTTGGTACTCACTGTAAAGAATTGTGCCATTTAGAGCAGTTGTTTTCACTGTCAAGTACAGAGTCGTCAGATTGCTTGTTTCCTGCCCAGATGCAGTCCTGGTATCAGATACAGATGTCAGAGAAGGTAGCTCCAAATAAGAATTTCCAGTGAAGGATGGAAAAAACAGTGCTATGTCTGAAATGAACAACAAAAAGCTAATTTTATTAATTTATTACAAAATAAAGTAATAAACTGCAAGCACATTAAAAAAGATCCATTTTTGTATACCTGTGAATATCATCAACTACATTATTTGCTGAGCATGCATATAAATTCATTTAATTTCAAACATTCAAATCAAATACATAGAAAATGAAAATGTTCAGGGATCTGAACAGATTTACCAGAAGTGAATTATAAGAGGGAATACTGCTAGAATATGCAAGTTAAAAAGGCTGACATAAATTTTTAACTTTACAGGTGTGTCCATGCATAACTTTGTTCTATGACATCTCTGTGAAGTACTTTTAATTTTTATTTCTAGACAAGAAACCCAGCTTTTCTTCATTTTCAGGGTACCAAAATGTTTGGGGTTTGAAATTATGAAGAGGATGGCTTTGAGCAGTATATGCATTTTTCCACTACACTACTCTGGAAATGAATAATTGTTAAGAGAAAATTTTTAAGTGTGAAGGCTTAACATTTGCAATGTTTATTGCACTTATTACTTTAGTCATTATGGTTTTAATTTTTTTTTTTTACCCTGTAGACTTAATAATAGTATCATGAATGCAAGAAAAAATAAACTAAAGCTAATTGAGGTTAGGCAGAATGTTTTCCCAATGCCTTAAGAATTCTCTTTAAGCAAAACACCTTGAGAACTGGCTAGACTGATCACCAGGGATATGAATAAGGAAAAAACATCAAGAAAAATATTTTGAGTTCAGGTAATGTTTTTGCAAATAAATTTTTAGTTTAATGAACTAAAAGTATACAATGGCTCTGTGAGTGATGATTACACACAGGCATGAATTGTATGTGTTTTTAAAAGATTTGTATTCACTTTATTAATTGCTTGTGAATCTGACTACTGCTTATCCTCTGCTGTTTTTATTTGACCTTAGAAAAAAGGACAAAAGGCCTAGCTAAACAAGCACATGTGGAAGGACAGTCATTAAAAAAAACCACACCCTGACAGCAAAAGAAAGGCAGGATGGAAAGCAATGACCAGTTATGTTTCTAAATCATAGGTCTGGAAAAGTCAAGATTGTTGGAGAAAGCAGTAAAAGCTATGGGATTGAAAAAGGTCAGTGGCATTACAAATCAGAAGCAGACCTACATGATTATGAGAGTGTTTTTGCCTAATTAAATTCATGCTTTCAAGAGAAACGGTACAAGGAGATCTAACAGTGCAGTGCAGGACAACAAACTGGATTAAGGGCTGGACGCTCTTTCACATGAGGAGAGGCTGAGAGAGCCAGGACTCCTAAGCCTGCAGAAGAAAAAACTCAGTGGATCTTACCAATGTCTGTAAATACTTGGGGATGGAGAAGAGGGAGCCAAACTTCTCTCTCAGCAGGGCACTTGAAAGGCAACAGGTACAAATAACAACCCAAGAAATTGCACCTAAACATGTGGAAACTCATTTTCACTGTGAGGATGGTCAAACACTGGCATAGGTTACACAGAGAGGTTTGTCATGTCTCAATTCTTGGAGATTTTCAAAACATGACTGGGCATGGTTGTGAGAAACCTGTTCTAGGTGGTCCTGCTCTGCTTGAGCAGGGGGTTGGACTTGATGGTCTCAAGATGATGGTCCCTTCCAACCTCAATAAACCGGTGATTCTGTTATCCTTCACAGAGAGGTTCTGTGCACTCAACCTTAATTATTATTCTTCAAGTGTAGTTCTGTACTCACAATATAGTGGTACACTGAGCAACAAAGCTATTAAAATGTTTTTTATAAGGTAGCTAAAAAAAACCCAACTAGCCAACTTGGAGAGTAACTGTCTGCAATTTATATTCTAAGTTAAAATTAATCTGTGAAGTTTCTTTCAGCTAGGTGAAGGGAAGGGGGAGAAGAATGAAGAGGCAAAGGGAGCATGGTATATCTGGGCAATCTTGAATATTCCCTTAAAGATATTAGAGATATTTCCCTTAAAGATTTAAAACTTTCCCAGGAGTTCAGCACCTTGCAACCAGAAGTCTTTGCATTGATGTACAGACAAAACTACTGAGAAAAGATGCTATTTCAACCACTGTGTCTATGTCTGCAGCTCTGTGCCCAAGGCAGCCTAGGCTTCCATCACCAGTGCTGTGAAGTCCTCTCAGAAATCAGCAGAAGAGACACAGCAAATACAGCAACTGCATCAGGAACAAATACAGCAACTGCATCAGGAACAAATACAGCAACTGCATCAGGAACAAATGCATACCTGGCAAAAGAGCTGTCCAGAAATGCCAAGAGCACATTCCCTTCCCTATGGTGTGCAGGCTATTAGCCTGCTGATCTTTAGCAGTCATTTTCTGCCCTAAAGCTGTACAACAGCTGCAATCTGTTGCAAGCCTACAACATCAGTAAAGAGGTCACTGAGAGCACAGGGATTAGTCTTCTGCTTGGATGAAAGGCCTATGTGGGAGGAAACAGACTGAGTCTCTGTATTAAGAACCTAAAATCTATGTCTGTGATAAAGTACACAGATAGGATACTATGGGCAAAGCTGCCAGTCTGGACTAACTTTTCCCACTTCCCTCATTCTACTAAACTCTTATTTAGCAGAAATTAAAGTCCCATACAGCACTAACCATAACCAAACATGTAGGATCCATTAATCACATCCACAGAAGGGCATCAGAACTACAATGAGCTAATTCTCTACCACATTATGAGAGAAGTTTAGTATTGCTTCCTAGCAATATTTACAGATCTTCATATTTTAAGATGCTTGCTGGCAATAAATAATTTAGTATTTAATTCATTTTGCATGACAGGCTAACAAGAAGAAGTAGTTATTTAATTCTACCCTGGGTCCACAATCTGACAGTGTCACCTCTGTTCATGATCACAAGGGTCTCTTCTCCACAGGGGCAGTGGTCTCCAAAGTGAGTGGAGTGCGTACAACCTAAGAGGTTCTCAAAACAGCTAACTAGGATACAGGAAGAAATATAAACCTTCTCACATTTTTAGGGTAAAAATATTACAAATAATTCAAAGAATTTGTAGCAGAGACCACAGAGTTGGGTCTGAATTACCTGACAAACACAGGTTGCTAAGAATTATACTTTAACAATTTAACTGGAGAATCAAATTTTCTACTGAAATAAATAGGTTATCTGGGATATTATTTATGACAATTTTCACAATAACACATAGTACAATAGTACAACAAGAAAAAAAGTTGAGAAACATCAACAAGTTTCTCTTATAACCCTACCTGACTTAGTCATGGTAAAATAATGAGGAGTAAGGGGAAGAATATAGTTTTCTACTGGTAGTAAAATGGAATCAATCTGTTTCCACTCCTACCTCTAATTTTCCCTTTGCATTCTTTGTTTTTTATGACAAGTTTGTCTTAGCACTGAATTCTATTAAATTCTGTTGAATTCTTTTTAAAATATATTTTTCAGTCTTGAAGCTGTTAAGACTCATCAACTGCACCAGCCATCACTAAATAAAATCAAATGAGAACCAAGAAAAACTTCTAACATCACAAAATCCTAGAAAGAGAAGAAATGCATTCGTCTTCTGGTAAGAAAATCAGACCAAACCTCTGACTAACTTGTCTACCATCTACAGGATAGACAACTTCATTGAATATTCCTGGTCCTCTTTAATAATGAAAGTAAATGGCTAATCCTCACTCTATCATGACCTAAACCTGCCTATTTCGCTCTATTTGGTATTAAAGGACTCCAGAGTAGAGAGTTCAGCTGTAAACATGTACACCAGCAATATCTGAAGGTAGATGACAATTCTCATCCTTGTTACTTATGCACCAGAGATATGCAGGAGGATTTTCTTTAGGCAAAATCAAATTAGTACAGTAGTTTTGAGCTGAAATGTTAAAGATGTGAACTGAACAGGATGTCAGAATATTAAGTCAGGGGCTTAAACTCTGAATTTTCTGTTTGTATTTTTCAATTGCAATGGTAAACGTCCTCTGAAACCTATGGACAGATTCTGTGCTTGTTCCTCTTTTCCATTACTCAGAGAATGTAATAGAAGCACAGGTGATAAAAACTTTTATGAGCAGTGCAGCAAACCTTTTCCATATTATCACGAATGGAGGTGTTCCCAGCAGGCAGAAAGTCAGTTAAGAAGCAATATCAAGGGTCTGATGAATACATGATCTGTTCTATCCATCTCATGCTCACAGATTTTAACCACCTTAGAGTAATGCCTTCTTTTATCTCACGTTCATGGTGTGAAGAAAATCAAAGTGAAATAAATATGATTCAGAAAATTCTTAGGGATTATGTCTGGTACATATGAAATCTGACTTGGGTGTTTCATAAAGCATCATGTAGCATGCACCTACAACAGTACAGAAATACAGTAACCATTTTCTATGAAATAATTGATTAGCTGAATTCAGCTGTTTCATGACAATAAAATATGAAACAAAATAAATCTTACCCTTGCTGCTTTCATTCATTTGTCTCAACGCACAAAAGCTTCCTGCCTGCTGTAACTGAACTGCTACATCACAAAGCAAAAAATCCTTACTAAATAAAATGCACAAGTCTTCCTCTATCAGGCTAGCCTGGTGTCTTTTTGATAATGTTCTCTGCTGTCAACAGGAAGGGCTGAAATCAGATCACTGACTTAATCTCTTACTTTTCAGACTGCTAGGGCCTTTGAATGGCAGAAAGACAGTACATTTAATTGAGAAGACTCAAAAGAAAGGCACTCGAGGCAATGGGTCATATAAGCAATCCCTGGAGCAGGACATCAATTCATTTTCATTGAAGGAAACTGCCATACAAGTGGAACAGTAATAGAAGAAAAAAACTTTAAAAAAAATTTAGGAAAATAAAGCAGAAGATATTTGGCAAGCATGCATCCACAAAGGTACAATGAAACACAGAACAGAAACAGGGATGATCAAAGGAATAGCATTGCTTCCAAGTGGAGAAACAGAACAGGCCTATTCAACATGCAGAGGAAAATGTGTGTAAGAAATGGCAGCTCCGTG